AACTCTTTCCTCCCCAAGTTGGTACTGGTCAGAGTATTTTATCACAGCAATTGAGAAACAAACTAGGACACTGAGCCTTGTACTGAAATGGAGTATTGGACACTAGGTATGATACATTCTCTTTCTTTGAACCACTAAATAAAACACATAAAAGAAGTTTTCAGGCATTTACATATATTTTCTATAAGAAACATTTACTAAGGCCAGATTCTACACCATAAAATATATTTGAATAAATTTACCATGACATAAGTTATATAAGTATGTTCTCTGACCAGGAAGAAATGAAAACAATAGAAATAGACACGGAACCTGTCCCCACCCAAATTTGTAAACTAAATGATACGTTTCTAAATAGCCCACAAGTCAAATACAAAACAAAAAAGAAAATGATGGTGAAGGTAGGGTGGGAATTGTGAATTTCTCTGAGATAAGCAGCTATAAATGCCAGGTGTGGTGGTGTACACCTTTAATTCCAGCACTCTGTAGAGGCAGAGGCAGGTGGATCTCTGTGAAATCAAGACCAGCCTGGTCTATGTAGCAAGTTCCAAACACAAGGAGATCTGGTCTCAAAACAAAAAACAAAAACAAAAGCCACCAGCTGTAACTCCAAGCAGTTAATAGCCAACCCGTTATAAATATTAGCTATTATTATAGTTGTTAATACACGAAACAAACAGAAAAGGAAATACAAAAACTACTTTTAATGGAGTTAAAGAAGAAAACGTGACATCAAAATTTGTGGCATTCTGCTAAAGCACAGAATGCCCACAAGGACACAGGAGAAGCCGCAGGTCAAGGTCTCAGCAACAGCTACAGCAGCTGCAGAAAGCAGGGCAAATTAAACCCAAAGCAGGCAGAAAATGACAGATTGCAGAGCAGAAGTCAAAAAACTAAGAGAAAAATAAGTAAAATTAAAAGCCATATTTTGGAGATCAACAGAGTTGATTAATCTACAGCCAGATCCATCAGGAAAAAACAGATACATATAAATGACCTGTGTCAGGGAAAGGAAAGGTGGCATCACCGAGATTCTCCAAGCTGCTGTGCTAACGTTAAAAAACATATAATTCACCATCTTAATGAATTAAAGAGAAAAATTATAACTCTAAAAAAGTAATTTTTGCAAATCCAACATTCATTTATTGAAAAAACGTCTCTCTGAGCAAACTAGGAGTAGAAGATCTTCTCAACTGGAGTAGGGGATACAGAAAAAAAACAAACAAGCTCCTACTCAATAGTGAAGACTGAATGTACCCCCAAACCAGAGACAAAAAACCAAAACAAAACCTCAGCTCCTACTCAGTAGTGAAGACTGAATGCCCTGAACCAGGGACAAGGCAAGGACTGTGCTCTGCCTTCCCACCGACACCACACTGGGGCTCCTGGCCAACTCAGTAAGACAGAAAGAAGTCATCGAGGCCAAGAGCCTAGAATGGAGGAGACAGAACTGCTTTTATTTGATAACATGGTAATCTATGATGAAATAAGGCATCTATAAAACACCAGTAAGTGAACCTAGTAGAACTTCAGGATACAAAGCCAACACCTAAGAAATCAATGGCAAGTAAAATGAAAAACTAATTATCATGTACAAGAGCATTAAAATATATGAAATTGTTAGTGGTCAGCTCCTCGTAAATATTTGTTATTATTAATGTATAAAACAGGAAAAATAAAAAAATCTGGGCTATTGTCTGAAGGGAGACACATTTTTGGCAATATCTCCAATTCACAAACAGAAGGCTCCAAGCTCCTGGAGACATCAGGCAATCTCCTCAATCCCCTTCAAGGCACAGAAAATCCAGTCGATCATAAAAATGCAAGAAAAATAAATAACCTAGAAATGCACAACACAAGTGGCACAACGTTGAAAGAGAGCGCGACTTGTTTGGTGAGCTGGAGGAAGCTTGCTCCAGTTTACCAGTTTCTGACTAATCCTCCAACACCAGAGGTGCCCAAGGCACTGGGATAACAGCTTGACTACAACAAAAGATTTACTGAGAGATTAGTGAGTGTCAGGTACTCACTGAATACCAGTAACAAACCTGAGACACAAAGAGGCAGAACTTTCCACCCAAGGTCACAGAACTAGTGGCAGAGCCAGCATCCAGAGACAGAAGGTGCTTACCACAAATCACCCTACACTGCCTTCCCGCCCAGGCAGGTTTCCTTAGCTTTCCAACACAGAGAAGGAAAGTACTTGCTCTCACCAGGTGTTGCTCCCCCTGAGCTGCCTGGAGATTATGCTGTAAGAACTGAATCAGGTTACAAATGACAGACTTTCAGCTGGTAGACATTTTATAAATTACACTTTCTTTAAAAAGTAATTCTATTAGCTTAGAAATCACTAAAATGGAATCCTTAAAAGAGATCACCCTCTTTCTGCCTTTACTCAGTTTTATGATTAATTTATGACACCTAATAGAGTAGTTTTACATACTGAAACATTCTTTACAGGAAAAAGAAGCCCATTTGATAGTTTAGCACCTGGCATTTCTCCTTAAGGCAAGTTCTATTCCTGCAAAGACACTAAGAATTCATTTTGCTGCTTCTGAAATGGATGAGAAATCAAATAGACATTTCCTGTAATTTATCTTGAAATCAGCCTTGACATTTAGAAAAAAAGAACAAAACTTTCTGATAATCAATGCTTTTACTTTTACTATCAAATGACACACTTAGTCACCTAACATGAAACATACATAACAGAATTTTATTTTGCACATGAGACAATGCTTTGTGGCAGACACTGTTACACAGTGTAGACACAGGAACAAAAGGCTAGGAGCTCCACCCTTGTGGCACTTCATTCCAAAGTGGTGAGTCTGACCACAAACAAATGACACCAATACAAACACAGTGTGCCCAATGATGCTAAACCTAACAAAACAAGGTTGACGGTTAGGAAGCAGGGGCTCAGGGACGGTGGTGGGCAAGAAGAGATGGACATTAGTTGCTCTTTCAAACAGTTTGTCTTCAGACATCTTTAGTTTGGAACAGAGATGAGAATATGCAAATTAATACAAATTTTATTCACTCTCATGTATAATAAAAATACACATCATAGGTAGAGAGGTTTGATGGTTAAAAAGTCTCTTTTAAGAGATGGGCATGGTGGTGCACACCTTTAATCCCAGAGCTCTGGAGGCAGAGGCAGGCAATCTCTGTGAGCTCAAGGCCAGCCTGGTCTACACAGAGTTCCACCAAAATATTCCCATTTTCACCTCCAACTGGGATGTGGTTCTTAAAATAAAGCAAAAAGTAACTGTTAAATCTGACACTTGATTCAGTATGGAGCATGTATCAATCCCCAAATAAAATTTGCACACAACTTCTGACCAGCAAAGCTAGATACAATGGCGTACGCCTTTAACCCCAGCACTTGGGAGGCAGAGGCAGATGGATCTCTGTGAGTTCAAGGCCAGCTTGGTCTACATAGTGAGTTCCAGGACAGCTGGGGCTACAGGGAGACCCTGCCTCAAAAAAAAAAAAAGTCCACAATTCTTTAATAAGAACTGGGTGAAGCCAGATGACTGGGGGGCAGGGAATCACTAGATTTCTAAAGAAATCAGATGTCCTAGATTTTAAAGCAACTGTTCTGACAGAAATTAAATTTTCCATTAATATATACACAAATAAGCATTCACATATACTAATTTTAAATAAATTTGTTTTGTGAAAGAAATGGATAATTTTATAATTTATAAATGTAGATATCATAGTCACACAACAAATTACTAGTCATCTGGGCCTAAAGCTCCAGGCTCTTCAAGTTTTAGAATTACACCGGAATCAAACAAAGGTCCTTAAGTTATTAAGTGCCTCTGATGAGGAATTCCCTTTACAAGATTCTTAATATTGTATTTGCCAAGTTTTAAAAACTTAGCTTCCCTGTTATTTCAAACTGCTTCCTTTAATTCCCACTTATTTCTTCTAGTTTGTTCTGAAAATAATCCAAACAAGCTTATGCTCTCCAGCCAACCTTTGCTGGGTAGCTATGAAGGCATTCACTCCAGGTTCACTCCATTCATGCCTGGCCCTTCACAAGTTTTCCATGACAGAACCCGTGTTTCTAAGATGCATGCAGCATTTCATTCAAACCTCATTCTAAGGCTGTAAGTAAAGTGGTACAACTTCATTCTTTGTATGTGAGAATTCTCTTGTAAGAATGCTTAAACAAACTGGGTGTGGTAGCATAAACCTTTAGCACCAGCATTCGGGAGGCAGAGGCAGGCGGATTTCTGAGAGTTCCAGGCCAGCCTGATTGATCTTCATAGCAAATTCCAGGCCAGGTGGGGCTACAGGGAGATCCTGTCTCAAAAAATAAATTTTTAAAAAAGCTTAAACAATTAGTTTTTCCTTTTTAAAATTTTGTATGTATGAATGTTTCACCTGAATGTATGTAAGTGCATGATGTGCCTGCAATGCCTGCGGAGGCCAGAAGAAGGTGTCAAATCCCCTGGAACTGGAGTTATGGCAGTTTATTACCTTCCATCCATGTGGGTACTAGAAACTGAACCTGGGTCCTCTGCAAGAGCAGCCAGTGCTCTTAACTGCTGAGCCATCTCTCCAGCCCCAGAAAATAGTTTTTTTTGATGAAGGCCTAGCATATATCTTTCCTATCATTTGCTTCTGAAAATGTTCCTTTGAATCTAAAGAATGTTCTCAGAAGTCATTACTGATCATTAATTTATTTTCACTCATTTTTGAAGGAATGTGTCATGATATGCATAGCTAATAAGCAAACAAAAATCACCGAAACCATTAGTTTATTAGCATCAAGTGTGAAGCATATTTATTCAAACAGTAATCAATGGACCATGTTGGAATGCAGATCTAGACTCCTAGAGTACAGGATCGGAATATCTGGGGTGGCCTGAGAGCTGTAGTTTGAGGAGCAAACCTGCATAATCCTTGGTCACCATGGGGGCTTAATAATCATGGCCTAAGATTTGATTTGAATTTTTGCTTTCTAAGAAAAGATACTTTTAGCTCACCTGTAACCCAGGAATAAATCGAGTATCCTTTTCAATCACCAGAAGTTCGGCAATATTGGCACTGAGAATGGACCTTGTGATTCCCCCTGGCCCGGGACCCACTTCATAAACATAAGCATCTGTGAGATTGCCAGCTTTCCTCACAATTTTGTCTAAAGAAAAGAAGTTTTAGTTACTTTTATTACCATGGCAAATTTCAATAGATAGAATTTAAAGAGAAAATAATGTAAGAATTCTCCAAAATCATTGATTATTTAACTCTCACTCTAAACCAACATGTAGGAGTCATTAATATTCCACATCACTGAACTGAACCAATCACTTAACAAAAACAGGATTGTCACGACAATTTCTTTGCTTACATTTAACCAATACTGTATTTTCTGTTTCTCCATCCATCCAATCAATACGTCCAACGTGGCTAGATAAGCATGCAGCACCTCCCGACTGTCCTTGAACATCAAACACTTTTTTCACATTTACAATCCTCCACGGATGACAGGTTAAAGTCCAAAAACAGAGCGCGAGTGCACAGGAGCTCCTGCTTTTCCCATAGTTACTGAAGGTCAGAATGGCAAGGAACAAGTTCTGAGATCAGAAAACTCCAAACTTTGAGTTCTTGATCACTTAAAGGAAAAAGTTTACTACCTGAATTTTTTAAGCCTTGCAAATTTGCATGTTAAAATGGAAATACTGTGGGCTGGAGAGACGGCTCAGTGGTTAACAGCACTGGCTGTTCTTGCATAGGACCTGGGCTCGATTCCCAGCACCCACATGGTGGCTAACAACTGTCTGTAATTCCAGTTCCAGGGGATCCCACACCCTCTCTTGACCTTCATGGATCCTGCACGACACAGGTACACTTACACACATGCAGGCAATACACTCGTGCACATAAAGTAAAATAAGATAGAAATACTAATTCTTCAATAGTTTAGTAGACCTTAAGAAATCATAGAATAATAGAATACTAATAATTCACTGCACCTAATCATTGCTTCTGGAAAAACATACAATGGACTGATCTTACTGATTCTAAGATATTAAAATCTACAACTGGACCTCCCAGGACAGTGGAAATTTTGCCACTGGAAGCACACCAGCCCTTCATGGCAGTGTTTATGGACACTGCACAGCCCGGGTTTTGCTCGTTATTGATAATCTACTTAGGTGATCTGAAAGGCACACTTACCCATTCCCAAATGGTACTGTCTTTTAATGGGTGCAGGGAGGGAATTAGCATCCCCTATCAGCTCCATTTTGGGTGACACACGCACATTCTACCTAATTCTCGAAATGCCGTTAAGAACTCTATTTCAGTATCATTTTTTCTGAAAGTCCCATTTCCTTGTTTCCTGTCTCATTTGCACACTGTCACAAGAAAGCACACAGCAGACTGAGGATTTCCACTCGATACATTCTAAAAGCAAATCCTTGCTCTGTCGACAGCTGCCAAATGCTTCTCAGAGAGGAGGATTCACCAAGTACAGGCATTATGGAGGGAACCTAATAGTCTCAGTTTTAAAGATGGAAAGTGCTAGGGCAGTGGCTTCAATCTTACACTTCTCGGGCACTCAAATACAGCTAAGTATCAAAGACGCAGTGTCAAATCCCTGAGCTGGGGTTTCAATCTTGCTCTGCTCAACAAGTACCTTTATCTCCTTTCTCTTTGGTTTCCCAGAAAACAGTGGCTAATGTAGCTATGGGTCTGGAATTTACTCCTAAGGATGCACATGTCAATCAAGAATTTCAGGACTGGGGATGTAACTCAATTCTAACTCCTTGCCTGGTATGCACAAAGCCCTAGGTTCGATACCCAATACACAAACTGAGTGGGGTGGCACCCGCCTGTAATTCCAGCACAAAGGTAGGCGGGTCAGAAGTTCAAGGTCATTCTCTCCCTTCAAGCCAGCCTTGAACACAAGAGCCTCTATCTTTAAAAAAAAAAGTATTTTCAGTACTGAACGGTGCTTTACATTTAGTATATGATAATGAAAGCGGATGGTGCTAGTTATTGCTGGAACCAGAGAAGTTAGCAGTGGGCAATCTTTTATGGTTCTTGTAGTAGGCCCCTCTTATTTAAGAAGAGAAAATTTAAATGCAGTTAAACTGTTTTACCCAACATACTCAGCCATAGGCAGACTAAAGCCTTCATGTTCAAGAAATAAAACACGTATGCTTTGTGGATCATGCCATTATTTCATCCAAATAGATTTTGTGGTGTGACTTAACTTTCAGAGGGCCCCCAAATCTCAACACACAAGTCCTCAACAGTGAATTAGTGCCCTTACTCCCAGTGGACCTGTGCTGGCTAGTTCAGTGTCAACTTGACTCACCAGGGTTGAGGGAACCTCAATTGGAAATTTCCTCCAATGAACTGGCCTGTGGCCACATCTGTGGGGCATTTTCTTAATTACTGAGTGATGTGGGAGGGCCCAGCCCACTGTGGGTGGTGCCACCCTTGGGCAGGTGGGCCTATAATATATAAGAAAGCAGGTTGAGCAGGGTGAGGGCGAGGGGCAAGCCAGTAAGCAGTGTTCCTCCATGTCCTGGGCTTCAGCTCCTGCATCCAGGTTCCTGCCTTGAGCTCCCTTATGAACTGTGACCCGGAGATGTAAGATGAATAAACCCTATCCTTCCCAAACTGGTATTGGTCAGAGTATTTTGTTACAGCAATGGAGAAATAAACTAAAACTGGACTGAATTCCTGCAATCTCACCTTGTGGAGGGGGGCATCCTAACACCTGAGGGTGGTAATTAAACCAACACACACACACACACCTGTCAAAACTCACCAGCGCACGTGTCTGTACTGGTAGAGTTCACTGTAAATTTACCTCATATATACCTCATATAGTGACATGTCGACTTTGAACTGCAGACTCAAGGCCGTGACTCCTGTATCATAGCCCCAGGACTAGAGCACAATATGTACTTACTAAATGAATATTCTCACCCTAGAGATTTCTTAGACTTGGGAGGTAAACGTTTATTCTATTTACTTATTATTATTTGGGGATTTTTTAAAACCAGGGATTCACACTGCGGGCTAGCTAACTGGCTGCAATCCTCCTGCCTCTGCTCCCCAGTGCTAAGACTACAGACCTGGGTCACCGGTAAACGTTTAAATAAGGAATCCGTAGGAGCCACACTGGAAAGCAGAGAATGCTGGTAGCTTGGCACTAATTTAAACGCCAACTGTAAAGTGCACGGAAGGCAACTCGGACCGGCTCGGAACACCCGCCCGAGCCCACCGGGAGCCCCTGGGACGCGCGCCCACGCAGGCACCTGTCAGCCTCAGGTCCAGGAGGAAATTCTGCGACAGCTGCTTCACCGCTTGCAGCCGGAAGAGCTTAATGATTTCCCGAATGGTGGGCAGCGGGGGAAGGCGGAAAACGCCGATCTTCCCCGAGGCCGCCATTGAGGCGAACGCTTCCCGCCGCCGGGACTCACGCTGCCTGCCCACGCGCGGAGGGGGCGGGGCCTGGGAGGACGAGGGCCCGCTCTCAGGCCCATCTGATTGGTTAGAGAATCTCGTCGGAAACGACGCATGCGTACAGGAAGTCCGTGTGGCTGAGAGCGGTGCAGGCTGGGTACGTGGAGGAGGTAATCTCCAATGGGCGTGGCCCAGACGCGCGGGGTGGGAATCTCAGTCGGGGCGTGGCCTGGTGAGTGGGCGGGGTTTTTAGGTTCCGCCTCCGGAGGCTAAGCTAGTTTGGCTTCCAATGGCAGGTGTTTGGAAAGCCGGGGCTTGGAGGCAGAGGTAGTTTTCCTTAGGCTGTTAGTTGGAACCTGGGGTCCCTCACGTCCTTCAGCCTCAGTGTTTTCATCCGCTAAGTGGGCAGAGTGTGTACTTACAGGAAAGCGGTCACGGCTGTGTTAGCCCGTCACCCACAATACTAATTCAGCAGGTAAACGTGGGTCAGAGACCAGCAGTGCAGTCTCCTGGCCCATCTAAGTGTATCCAGCAGAGAGAAACCTCATCTTGCTTATGCATATTTTAGCATATATTTTGCAGAGTTCTGGGCTTCTTTGCGACCTTTACGTACGTGCACATAACATACTATCATTCTGTTTTCTGCCTCTATTGCCGTTCTTATTCCCCTGCCCTTTTCCTGGTCCACGTTCCTTAAAGTTCTACACTTTCATGCCCTCTTTTCCTCCTAAATATATGAGAGAAAACATGCCCGTCTTTGAATTTGGCTTATTTCCCCGAACATGTTAAATTAACCTAAATTTGGTCAGAGGATTTCCCAGAACATGAGCCGTTAGTCGGGGGAGCTGTAGCCTTGTCTAATCGGTAAGCTACCTGAAAACCCAATTCAGGACTAGGCTTTTGTAACACACAGCTCAATGTCAGCCAGTTAACAGCAGTTGAGTTAGTGAAGAGCAGGAGACCAATAGACTCAAATAAGGTAAAAACACCTAGCTGTCATAAACTAAATTGTCTCTGTGGTTCACTTCTGTTTTCTACCCATAAACACTGCCTTGGCAGAGTTTTGACACTGTTCAAAGGACTGCCTAATTTTAGAATCGTGAGTAAAAGCCAACCAGGATCTTTAAATTTGTTGTAATTTTGTCTTTTGACTTCAGCACTTTAAACTTTGAGAGGTGTTTTTAAAAAGATGTTTTATTAGTTTTATTTTATGTGTATGAGTGTATTTCCTGTGTGTATATAAGTGCACCCATGTCGTGCAATGCTCATGGAGGTCAGAAGGCATCGGATCCTCTGGAACTGGAGTTGCTGACGGTTGTTAGCCACCACGTGGGTGCTGGGAATCAAACTGGGGTCCTCTGCAAGAGCAGACAGTGCTTTTAACTGCTGAGTCATCTCTGGAGAGGTGTTTTTGTATACATCAATTATCTTTTTCAGTAACAGTCTTGTGAAATAGGTCAGATATTAAGATCTTCAGTTTAGGGCAAAGTAAAGAGATCTTACCTAGACCATGTAACAGTGAAACTCACACAGCTAGGAAATCATGGACTCCAGCTCCAGTTCAAGGTTGTACAAGTGTGTATGGTGGTTGCATTTTTAAACAATGCCTATATAGTCAGGATTGGTTGCCACTCATGTTTACCCTTTGAATTTTTTCTAGTGCCCCTTCTTGATCTGATTGCCTAGGACCTCTTTCCTGGTCCTAATCTTTACCAGGCAAAGAATTAAGAGCTGAGAAGTTTGCAGTCACAGCACACAGCCAAGGTTTATTGAAGCAAAAGCAACAACTCCATACTGTAAAGAGAACACTCGACGCGTGGGGAAGGGTGCAGAGCTGGAGCACTGTCCACCCTGCCCCCCAAATCTGGGTTTCTGTATCCTAAAGGGTAGGAGGTGGGGCAGGACTGGGGTTCCCTTTCCCCCTTTGAACTGGACAGGGTAGGATGCATGTTGTTGGTTCACTCATGAAAGCAGCAACCTGACTGGGGAGACCAAGGGTGGGAAATTTGAAGTTCCTGCCAGAGTGAGCCCACAGAGGGAGAGGAGGCACTGAGAGGCCCAACTTTGCACAAGGATCCCCAAGTAGGCCGTTTTGGATACAAGTGAGAGTAACTGGAGCACCGATGAATCTAGTCTGGGGCCCCTCTGCTGTCTGGGGCCTTCTTCCCTGACCATCTGCCTAATTCAGAACTATCTCCTGTTTTTCATAAGTATTGCAGTCTCTCCTTCCTTTCAGAGCAGTATTTGGGAAGCTAAGTACAAAAAGGGAAGCTTGTATTTTTGAAAGCTAAACTAAATTTCTGGAGCTTTTATAAAAGTGTCAGACTTCACTAATTGTTACAACACAGCTATACCTATATCTATATCTATTTAAAGGTGAGACTTAGCTTTAAGTTTCCCCATACAGCTAGTAAGTGGTGGACTTGGGATTTGAAATCTACTTATTGAGCAGTGCAGCCAGTGTGGAAAGGCCAAATGGTGGTTACAGCCAAGTAGAGAGAAGACAAATTTAGTTCTGACCTCCTGAGAAGACAAACAAATGGAAAATGTTACAACCTGTCTGATAAATGGAGAATTTCATTCTTCCCACCCTTTCTCCATTTACAAATTACTGCATTGAGCGCCACTGAACCGTACGTTGTTTATGTTTCTAGTAGTTAAGTTTTTTAAAAAGCTAATAGAAAATCAAGGCTGGAGAGAGATGGCTCAGTGGTTAAGAACACTGGTTGTTCTTGCAGAAGACCAGGGTTCGAATCCCAGCACCCACGTGGCAGCTAACAGCTGTCTGTAACTCCAGTTCCAGGGGATCCGACAGCCTCTTCTGTCTTCCACAGGCATTGCATGACACAGGTGCACTTACCTACATGCAGACAATACACACATACACATAAAATAAAATAAATAAAATATTTTTTAAAAAATCCGCTGAAATTCCAATGGAAAGCTGTGCTTCTATTACAGCCGAGTCGGAAGGAACTTGGAGCTAATTGATGTAGCTCCTTAGTTTAGAAAATCAGGGAGTGGTGAGATTTTCCCAAAGTGTCACAAATAGCCTGAATGTTTTGCTCAGAGATCTTATTGTCTGTAGAACACTATACCCAGGAAGGCATCCACTCAGTCTTTTTTTTAATTTTAAATTTTATTTTATGTATATGGATGCTTTGCCTACATGTGTGTCAGTGCAACACCTGCGTACAGTGCCCATGGAGGTCAGAAGAAGGTGTCGGATTCTCTAGAACTGGAGTTAGAGATGATTGTTACCCTCCATGTGGGTGCTAGGAACTAAACTTGGGGTTACTGCAGCAGCATTATGCACTCTTAACCACTGAGCCATCTCTCCAGCCCCTGTGTCTGTTTTTATGAACTCAACAGCTGAAGCTAAATTATTCAGGACTTATGCTACCATGTATACACATACTGTATATCAGTCATAAGGAGGTTTTTCAGATGACACAAGGTGTAATTGCATGAACTTTTTACAGCAGTAATACAAACCTAAAAACAAATTCACATGAGTGAAAACACACTTGCCTAGAGGATTTTCGATTCCTGAGAATTTGTCCCCAGATCTCAGTAAGGACTTACGCATGCCAACTTCCATAATCTGTGTTTGTGAGGGTCTGACTGTCATTGCCAACAGTGGTAGGCGACACCTCACACAGCTCTCATTTAAATTCTTTTCTATGTGTTCATGAAGACATCCAGCCATTGCCCCCTTGCTAGTAGGTGCTGGGGCTGAGTCTGGAATTCAAATCTTTTGCTTCTACTGTTTTTTTTTTTTTTTAAATTAACTTTGTTTTAAATAATTATTGAACTGAATAAAAATCCATCTTAGAATCTTCCAAGTTTTTAATAATTCTTGAGGTCTAGTTTTTTATCATAAATATCTGATCTGAAGTCTTTGAATTTCAGAAAATTATGCATCACTCCTGTAAAAGCCTGTGAAATCAGCAGGGAGTGTTTTAGTAGTGTGGTTCACATATTAATGCAAACCGTTTTATCCCTTAAAACAGAAGTATGCAGTTTCATCAGTTTTGAAGCTTTGAAGTATCTACTTCATCTAGATATAGATTTTTAATATGCTAAAATATTATAATTAAAACAGACACTGCTAGCCCCACCTATCGGTGAAGCTGAAGAACTGCAGGCGATTCATTCTAAATAATGCAGAATTCAATTTGCTTAAGTCCCAAAATAGTAATATAGGAAACTCACTTATTTTAATATTTATTTTAATGAAAATGCATATGTAACTTTGTTACTATAAATAATTTAGTGTCTATTTATGGGAAAAGTGCTAATTCTAAATATTATAATTTTGCAGTTCCTTATAAGAGACTTGAAAGTCACAAAGACCAATATCTTCAGGGCTGGCTGGAGAGATGGCTCAGTGGTTGAGAGCACTGTCTGCTTCTTGCAGGAGACCCAGGTTCGAATCCCAGCATCCACATGGCAGCTAACAGCTGTCTGTAACTCTAGTTCCAGGGGAATTGACACCCTATTCTGTCCTCTGAGAGCACTTCATGACATGTGTGCACTTAACATACATGCAGACATAACATTCATACACATAAAATAGAAAATTTTTTTTAAAAAGGCCATATTCCTGTAATGTGAGAATTTTCAGAGAAAATTAAGGGTGGTTTGGAATTGCCATATTGAACTTTATAAAAAGACTATTAATGTATGTAAAGCACCCTTTTCTGTTAGCATTTTATAAGTCTAATATGACACTTGCTCTGAAAAAATATTAAGAGCTGCATGTAGCACACATTTAGTTTTTTTTAAATAGCTGTTTGATGCCCGCTCATAAAGGACTTTATGGCCTACTCAGCCTGGGGAAAGAAGGAACAGAAATCAGGGCAACCTCTGGCAGGTAGCACAGGCTCTTTGAGGGAATTTTGTCACAGCTACACTGCCTTTAAAAGCATGGCATTCATCACTGCCTCCAAAGGTTTGTGAATTATTGCCATTGGCCCGATA